CTCACTCACCCGGAAGTTTTCGGGGTCCACGTGCAGCTTGTCGCAGTGCAGCTCGCTCAGCTTGGAGAACGTGCCCTTGACGTTGTCCAGGTTCTTCACAGCGTCCCCGAAGGAGGTGAGCACCTTCTTGCCATGGGCACGCACCTTTGGGTTTCCAGTGATAGCGGTGGGGCTGGAGAGGTTCCCGAAGTTGGAGAAGAACCTCTGGGTCCAGGGGTAGACGATGAGCAGCCTAGAGAGAGGGAGACACAAGCAGAGCCACGGTGAACACGTCTGTGTGCAGGAAGCCTCCGGTGAGGGCTGAGCAGAGGTCCCTGGGACCAGCCTACCTGGCCAGGGCTTCCCCACCGCATTCCTCCACATTAATCCTGCCCCATATGCTGATAATGAGCTGCTTCTCTTCAGCTGACCACTGCACCATGGTGGCGAACGATAGCTTGCTTGCAACTGCAGTGATGTCGGGAAGCAGAAACTGAGCTGCAGACCCCTCGGGGTCACTTTTATCCTCTGGCCACAGCCCCCTCCCACTCCCAGCTGACACGGTCATTGGTCAGGCCTGGCTTGGGTGGGGGAGGTCAACCCTGGTTGGGGGACCTGGGAGCCTGGACAGGCCCTGCAGGGAGTGGCCAGTTGAGAAAGGGGCCCCGGTGCATGTCGAGGGCAAGAGTTCAGCTCCATTCCCGCCTCTCTGTACAAGGTGCCATCCAGTGAAACCTCCTCCCCATGCAGAGGAGTTGCATGCATTATAACCTCAAAGAGCTGCAAGGCACAACAGCAGCCCTTTAGTCTAAACCCCTGCACAGGTGCAGGATAAAACCCTCCCAGACCAATGTCCAGGCAGCCTCTGCTACAAAATCCTCCAGCAAAGATACCTCGGCTTCCCTGGGCAGCTTGCTCCACTGTCCTGCTCACCTCCATTGGGAATTTTCCCTTGCATATGACCTGTAAGGTCACTATTTGTTTAATTTTCTATCCCATTTAGGACAGAGAAAAGCCACCCACTCATGCTCTCTGCCAGTGACTTTGCAGCCAGCCCCCTGCTCCTGCTGACCAGCAGTGTGTGCCTAATCCCCAGAGGCGGGCAACACCAATGGGCAAGGGCTTGGCGAGGAAGTTGTTTGAGGAGAGACTGAAAGGACACGGTGAAGGCTAAGAGGTGACATGATAGCAATCTGCCGTAAAGAGGAGGGACGGTGCCTTTTCTCTCCTGCTGCAGAGAGGAGGACAAGGAGCAATGGCTTTAAGATGCGGTGAAGTCCGTTCAGACTGGATCTCCAGAAAAATAAACTTGTTCCCTATTACAGCAGGGAGGCAGTGGCATAGATGCCAGGGAAAGTGTGGACTCTCCATCACTGGAAAAGTTTGGATATTTTATTGAAGCAGGACTTGGCTGTCGTTGTTCCCCTGCTTTACCTGTGGCAGGTTCAGGTGCTAGGACTGTGCAGAGTTGAGGGTAGTCTTATACAGAGTTTAGATTATAACTTTGTTGGGGATGGTTTTGCAGGGTTGATCCTACGTCAGGTGGGGGGGTTGGACTAGATGTGAGGTCCCTGCCAGCCCCACTTTTCTATGAATCCCTTCCACCCAGGTGTGCCTCTGCAACGCTGTGGTTGACACAGGTCCCTCATCTATGCCCTCGCCAGGCCTAGGCCTGTTTCACCTCCAAGTGCAGATGAGGTTGGGTACTTGAATTCCAGAATAGTATTTTGAGCCAAATGGCATTTTGCAATTCAGGACCAATCACATGGGTATTTAAGTCTTGCATGCAACTAAGGAGATGGCAAAAGTCCAGTACAAGGGGCATATCCCTAGGGGTACTGTGGTGTGATCCCAGGGGCAGGATTTCTCTGTCTGAAATGCCTTTGGCTCTGGAGGAGGGTGACTTTGGAAAGGGGCATTCTTCTCCTTGATCAAAACCCAGCCAGCCATGGGTTTGCCTCTTCTGGCATCTTCTGATAACTAGTTGCACAGCCGGTGACAGGACCACTCTGTTCTCCAAACCTGCTTGTGGAACCAGGTGGAAAACAGCTGGCAAGAGGCATTGAATGTGGTGAAGCCCTTCAGGTGCCATGTCCCAGCTAGTGGAGGACTTTGCATGAGAGCAAGGACCCTGCACCCTGCTCGGAAGAGTGTGAGGAGCAAGCAAGGTTTTTCTGAGCAGTGCTGTGCTTGTGTGGGTCTGTTTTCTATTTGCACCAGCTCCGGGTAGCCCCAAGTGCAGTGCAATTTCCACTCAAAACACAGAGATTGTGGTTCTGATCCAAAACCAGCTGAAGCCAATAGCCATCTTGGTACTGGTTTGACTGGGTTTTGGTGCAGGTGGCATAGGAAGAGCTGGGGCTTGGGGCCGCACCATGCAGTACCATAGCTGTGTTAATAACAGAGGCCAGAGACACAAGAGTGGTAACATTACCCAGGCCCTGTACTGTGCTAAACACCTAGATTAGACTTTGACATTTGTTTTTGCAGACTTCTGGCTGCGTGGGTTCAGGGGAAAACCACAGCAAAAGATCTTTCCTAAGCATGCATTAAAAACACAGCAAAACCAGGGAAAGCAACTGCAATGCTGTAACACCTTCAGTTTGACAACCGCCCCTGTTCCCTTCAGCTGAAGAAAGGCTTTTTAAGGACCTTCCACCCCCTGTGTAACAGGCTTTTAGGTTATATTAAGGATAGCAATACATGTTCTTTGGGCAGGGGGAGAGGAAAAGTCAATGCAGGCTGGAGCTGCTGTCGGTGCTGTTGTCCTCACTGGAGAGAAAAGGGGAGAGAGAAAAAAGCTAAGGGGGAAAGTGCAGTGTCTGTGTCTGGGGCCGAGTCCTGCTTGCAAGCTTTATGCTGGAGAAAGTCAGGCACAAGCACTCAGCCTTATCAGCCCCCCCAGACACTTGGCATGGGTGTAGCAGCACAAGGCTGCTTCAGACAACGCTCATGGCCATGGGCTCGCAGCAGAGCTGCACCGTGCCTGGTTATCTTAGCCTGCTCAGAAAGACTTTCTGCAACAAGAGAGAGATGGGGAAGACCAGCAAGGGGTCCCTATGCGGTCAGGGTTTCTCCCAGGTTCAGGCTTGTGGCACTCCTGTGATATCACAGCGGGTCCCAGGGGCCCGGGCTTTGGTGTCAGGATGGTACAACTCACTCCAGTCTCCCCCCAAACCATCTCCTCCAGGTGTTACAGTCCCCACCCCTGAAGCCTCTGATGGTAAAGACTTGCTGGGTGGAAGTCCGGACCTGTATTATTTTGTTGATCCGTTGTGGTCCCTTGATTCCTAGTACCCTGCTCCATGTTTGCCAGGTGTGGTCCCAGCACTGTGTTTGCTTGCATTATTTCAGTCTTTTGGTCTTCAGCTTTCGCTGCCTGTTTTCACTAGTTTTATGTAACCGGCTCAGCTGGATATGTGTGACGGTAGGCATCTGAGAGTATAGTGAGCAGCCAAGCAGGGACACTGCATGCACCTTGGAGAGATGAATCCAGGTATCCAGGTTGTAGCCGTATTGGTCTAGAGGGAAAGGCAATCAGGACTCGTAGTAGAGATGATATCTTTTATTACACCAATAAGATGTTTGCAAAAAAAAATTATTTAATTGCAAGCTTTTGGGTACAAACACCCTTCATCACCCTTGGAGCAATGAATGTGCAGTGTGTTAATGTCTGTGTCTGCTGGGGACTGACAGCTATATACCCTTTCCTCTGATTTGTGTGTGTGGGAGGAGGTGTGGGGCATGTATTATAGGGGCACTGGCCACCAGCTTGTGTTCAGCACAGGAGACTTGGAGTCCTTTCTGGGTTTAGGGGGGCAGGGAGATGGTGACTGCCTGCTTAGCTTTTTTACTGTATGCAGAGTGGGGGTACTGGGTGTCTGCAGCATTGTGAATAGGAAGGAAGCTCAGAAGGGAGGGAACAAAAGCAACTATTGCTAAAGATGGCAGCTGCATTTCTTCTTCCCAGTTCTCTTTCTTTTTAAAAAAATACTGTCGTCTCTGTTCATCCAGAGAGCCATAGCAATAGTTGGCTCTGTGCATGCAGCACGGAGAGTGCCTCCCATGCCCAGAGCTGCTGACAGGCAGTCCGGGGGCCAAATCCTGCAGACCCTTGCACACTTGAATAACAGCGTGCACACGCGTACACACACACACACACACAGACACACACTCTCATCCCTCCTGGAGCCTGCTAGAAGCTATTCACGTGCACAAAGCACTCCTTGAAGGGCAGGGGGAAGGACTATAATAAACAAAGTCTGGCCCTGTCATGATAGAGGCCTTTTAAAATGTTTATCTGTGCGTTGCCCCCACCCAGCCCTGGCTGCTTAGCCCTAGTGAGTCAGCTACTTGCTGAGGGGCAGCATGCAGGCTGTTTAAAATCATCCCTTCTGCAACAAGGGTCCTGTTTATTCAGTTAGAGACAGGGTAGGAGTGGGAGGGGGGTGGTCCCTGAGTTTCCCCTGTATCCTGCAATCCACCAGGAACTGCATTAAAATATGGTCAATAGCTTTTACTTGTCACCTGTCAGGACCAGGAGGACATTTCCAGGGGTGCAAAGGAGCACGGCAAGCAGCTGGCAATTTCTTTCTGGGGCATCCTCCTTCCCTCTGGGTTGGTGACTCTCTAGGGCCACTGCAGGGATGAGCTTTTCCAGGCATCGCAGCATTCAAGGGTGATCTCCCTGGGGTGCTGGGCAGCCAGGACAAGGGCGAAGCACTCAGCGCTGACCTTGACCACCTGTCCTCCCTGCTCCGGTGTGAGCACGCCAGGCAGATACCAGCCCCGTGTTTAAGCGGAGCCCTCCAACTACATGGGGGTTTATACCTCCAGCTGGAGTCGGAGCGTTGAACGACACCGTTCAACCCCTTTCTTGTGACATCCCATTGAGAAATATTAGCAGTCATATTTTTCTAGCAGAACTGGTCTGGCCTGGTGCAGGTGTGGGCTTTACAAGGGAAACACGGCCTTCTGGACTTGATCTTCTCCTGCATCACAGCTGCCTACCTCTGCGTAGCTTCACCCACGTTGCTGCCCTTGCAAAGAGAGGAGCCCGGAGCAGAGCATCCTTCCCTCAGGGGCTTTTGCTGATGGGATTCCTCTCTCTCCCCCTCCTTGCTGCCTTGGAGGGTCTCTCCTAGGCAGACACAAGCCAAGGGCATGGAGGCACATGAGCAGGGTGCACATCACAACATTTTCTTCCAGGTTATTAATCCAGGAGAGCAGTCACTCCCCTGTTGTTCAAGCCCTTGGTCCAGGGGCTTGGTTACCGGTTCTCCCTACTCATGCATCTGCTTCACCTCGTCTTTTTCCTCGTCCTCAGCTTTTCCCTTCACCCCTGCCGTGACCAGACCTGCTGTCACCCCTGGTCTGCAAACCCTTAACTTTCCAGCCTGCCTTCCCTCTCCTAACCTCTTACCTTCTTGCCCTTGCTCCAGGACCTCCTCTTCTCTCTGTCCTCCTCTTCTCTCTCCTTACT